CAACTAAACTTGTCTGTCCATCTGTATGAGCCCACGTGTGTCTGAAAACAGAGGGACCTGTGTCACTGTGAGGGGCCATGGCTTCTACCACCTTCACACTGTGCTGAGAATTTCTGGGTCCTGTAATGTCTATGTATTGCTATGACCATTGGGTACCTGGCACTGTGTTCCTTCCATAGCACGCGTGTGTTGTACAAAGTATGCCTTCAAGCAGAGACTCAAGTGAAACATCTGTGCCTGTCTGTAATCTACATGTCATCATATGAGGTTATAGGTTATGCTCTATGTGCCCAGGGGCAGCTATAGTTTCTGCCGTTGTATGTCCCTGTGTACCTATAGCTTACATGGATTTGTCTGGACATAGCTATAATTTCGGTTGTTTTATGTCTGTGAGTGGCTGCAGCATATGTCATTGTGTTTGTATGTGATTACCGGTTTTTGCCTTTAGGGGATAATAATCATTTAGTTGTAGCTGTTGTAGCTTGTACTGTGAGTCGCTACAGCTTGTGCTGGTGTTTATCTACGAAGAGCTGTAACCGGAGTCCTTTTGTATGAGTGTAGTTTTGTCTGCATGTGGCTGTGGCCTACACTATTGTATTTGTGGGTGCCTGTAGCTATAGCATATGTTGATCTATAAGTGACCAAGTGTCTTTGAGAGTCTGTGTATGGCTGTTGCTTCTGTCACTTGTGCCTGTGAGTGGCTAAAGTTTGTTACTGTACACATCTGTAAATATTGTTGCTTCCTTTGCTGTACACCTCTGTGTGGTTGTATCTCCCCTGTTACCAAGTCTATGTTAGGCTTTGAGACATCCCCTCCCCCCCAGCCTTTCTCCAGCTCGGACTCCCCAACTTTGCCCCCTCACCCCTCCCCCGGATAGTAAACCCTTGGTCCTCCCCAGGGGTTTTTGGGCACATCTCTGGAGACCCAATGTGTGTGTGTCTCTCTGTATCCACAGCCAGAGCGCTATCAAGGGTAGATGGCCAGGCCAATGAATCCAATGAGCGCCTGGCCCCTGGGCGTGCGTATGCAACAGAGAGCACAAGCAACCAAAGACCCTAAGGACACAGGGTGTCAGAGAGCTCCCCTACACCCCTACACCCCTACACCCCTCCCGCCTCACCCTGCCGCGATACAGCTCCTCCAAGCGCCCGTCGATCCACTTCTCCACGTCCAGCCGCCGCTGCAGCTCCCGCCGGTCATACTTGACGGTGACACGCGCATGTCGTTTCTGCAGCCCTCCGGGGCTGCCCCCCGACCCGCGGGCCCGCGATGGCGCCTGCAGCTTGCTCAGCACCCGCTTACCCAGCCTCTGAGCTGCCATCGCCTCCTGGCCCCAGCCCCCGCGCCGCTCTGTGCGCCTTTGCCTCGAGCCCAGGGGGCCTCTTACTGGCCGGGGCGGGGCCGGCCGGGGGCGGGGGCTCGGGCTCGCTGGGGCCCCGCCCCAGCTGCCCCGGGCCTCAGTTTCCCCGCCTGCAGCGCGAGGACTGTCCGCTGCTCAGGCATAAAGCCCTCAGCCTTGCAGGGCTCAGGTATGGGCGGGGTCCCGGAGCCCCAGGCCGGACCGGACGTCTGGGGCTCCAGGGGACTAGATCCCGGAGGGGGGGGAGGGGGCGGGGTCCCGGGACAGGCTCAGGGGACCCGGCTTGTCTACGCCCTCTAGCGATTGCAAGGGATTGTGCAGGAACCCCCGTGCCACCTTCTTTCTTTGCCGGGAAACGTTATTTGTTCGTTGTTTCATTTATTCACTCATCCGTGCATCCATTCGTTCATTTATTCGCTCATTCTGTGAATATTCACTGAGTGCCTCTATAACAGGCACTGTTCTAGGCCCTGGGGATAGAGCAGAGAACAAAAGAGACATGCCCAGTCGTCATGGAGCTGACATTCTTGTGGTAGAGACAGGCAGTAGACATAATAAGTAAATACAGTATATTATACAGTTTATTAGAATATGATAAGTTCTATGGAGAAAATTGAAGCAGGAAAAGGAGAAATGGAGGGTGGGATTGCAATTTTAGCAAGGGTGACCAGAGAAGTCCCTTACTTCACAAGTATTCCCACTTCTAATTATAAGCAGCAACAATGATACTTTAAAACTTAAATTTGGTCATGTTCCTCACCTGCTTAAAACTATCCCTAACTCGGCAATGGTTTCTTAGATATTGTCATCGTAAGAAATGTCCAAACCTGTAGAGAATTTTTATGAGTTTATTTGAGCCAAACTGATGACGTATGCCAGGAAGCAATATCTCAAATGCTCCAGAGAATAACATTTTTGCAGTTCCTTTTATACATTTGAAATTAAGGAGGGAACAGGAATGTAAGGAAGATTACATGAAGGTGGGAGAAAGCAAAGCAGGGATTGGATTACAGGATAGTTAGGATCATGTGCTCTTGAGGGTGGCTAAGGCTTATTTTAAAGGTGTGTTATCCTAGATGCACAGAAACAATGGACAGGGCTTGCTTAAGGCAAAGATAAACTTTTTATCCCTCTGTGTGATTACCCACCGTGACCTGCCCAGTTAGGAGGCTGCCCAACATCTTTTTGCGACATCTTGTAGGGAAGTTAACATAGACATACCTAGTTTTTTTGGTTTGTTTTTGCTTTGCTTTATTGCACTGCACAGACATTTTAATGTTTACAGATTGATGGCAAGACCCTCCACCTGCAAAAAGGTTACAACTCCTTTTATACTTGCTTTATTGCAGTGGTCTGGAACCAAACCTGCAGTATCTCCAAGGTATGCCAGTATAGAGAACTCCCAGAGTTGAGCTCTAACATGTAAAGAAAGACTCAGCTATATGGTTCATTTTAAAAATAAGATCATAACAATTTGGAATCATTTGGCTTGTATTAGGCAGTTTGAGTCTCTAATCTCTGTGATTCTATATATTCTTGCATTTAAATAATAGGTTAGAAATTTAAAAGACAGCACAATGATTGTAAAGATGAGGAAACTATTCTATCATTCTACGTATTCTTTTTTTTTTTTAATTGGGGAATTGGGGGAGGGGAACAGCATTGGGGGAATCTGAGAAGGGGAACAGACAAGTTGCTGTCCTTTTGTTCTTCAGTCTAGCTGTGGAGGATGTTGCTTCACTGGCCCATGTTGGTATTATCATTGCGCTCTTCCCAACTGTGGCAGGTTGGTCACCGGCCTCTGGATGGCTGCTCACGGCGGCTCTTGGCAGCTCACACCGGCTGTCAGCCGCTCATGCTGGCTGCCAGCCACACACGGTAGCTTATGGCAGCCCATTGCAGCAGGCGCTGCAGCCTACACCATCACCGGCAACTCAGGGTAGCCCAGCTCCAGGTCGAGCTGTTGTTCACCATCTTAGCTGTAGAGGGCACAGAGTCATTGGCTGTCATGTGGGATCTGAACCAGGGCTCTGCTGCACAGAGCTGGCGTCCCAAGCCAACTCTTAACCAATGCTCCACTCAGCCGGCCCTCTAAGTATTCTTTTGGGAGTTTTTGTGTTTAAAATTTAAAACAGTGAATCAGGGTATGAACTGCAAGGTGTAATATTTTTATTTGGTAAAAGTGCAAATTTTCATTCATACATGAGATATTCTGGATCATATTACTACTGGATTTGAGTAATATCTCTAAAATTGAAATGTATTCATTTTCAATTATTAATTTTAAAATGAAAGAATAAAATGATTCTCACATGATTATTATTGAAAATAATTTTCTGGTAAAGAGGAGGAGGTATAAAAAAATTAGTTCCACCACTAGTTCTACCACTGTTCCCAACATTATAAAGTGAGTTTCAATAGGGCAGGAATTTTGCTTTGTTTGCTGTTGTACCTTCTCCAGCATTTACAATAGTACCTGGCCCATAGTGGGTCCTCCGTGAATGTGCTGAACGAAGGGATGGATGTACGAATGAACGAATGAATGAATGTGCCTGTGCCTCTTCTCCAGCCTCACCTTTTACTAGTATTCTCTGTCTTCCAGCTCAAACCTAGGCTTAGTGAGACAGGGTGGGAGTGAGGGTGTTCAGGTGCTGGAGAGACCTTTGGCCTCACATCCACACTCCACATTTGGAGTCCCAGAACCTAACTACAAGACTCCTTCAACACTGTTGTCTTTCTTGCCTCAGGACTTTTGCATTTGCTGTTCCTAATGCCTAGAATGTTTGTTCATCAGCCCATCTTATCCTTCAGTGTTTATCAAAACCACCTCCTCACAGCTCCTCCTCCACTCAGTTCAAAAGGTCTCCTTTAGTTTCCTCTACTCCTATTCCTGCCCCACTCCTTTTGAGATTCAGTTCCTCTTCCAATGAGTCCCCCTGGTTCACAAGCTGGGTTATGTGCCTTCTCTGGTCCTCCCTCCTTTCAGGCCTGATTGCCCTGCCTGTGCTTTCCTATCAGCCCTGACACCTGTCCCTGTCTGGTGAAGAATTTGTCTTCATCTTAAAACTGGGAACCGTGGAGGCAGGGTCTTGGGCTGTTGTTCACTCATGGGTCTATCGCCTCCTCCCAGGAAGCCCTCTCTGGCCCTCTCTCACACTGAATGAGGAACTTGTCTGGGCTCCCCTCATTCCCTGGTCTTTCACCACCCCAGTATGATCGCTCAGCCTGTATCACATCCTTAATCACTCTGCCCTATACTTCCCTTATCACTGGGTTGTTCCTGTCTGGTGACGCAGGGACTAGTCTGGCGTAGTCACCGCTGTGTTTCCAGCAACTTTCCAAGTAGGTTCTTAGTGAATGTTGAATTTAGGAAGGAATAAATCCCTCTCCCTCAAAGGAAGGCTAAATTGAGGTGGGCAAAAAACCACAGGTTTCCAGGTAGAGCGTGTGTGCACCCTCTGCTCCCACCCAGAGGCCCAGCCCAGGAGCGAAGGTACCGGGACGTCATGATCGAGACCACCGGCAAGGGTAGCAAGAACCCCAGGTTCAGCCGGCGAGCGCCTCCTCCCAGGGAAGGTTATACCCGGGGCGGAGTCAACGCAAGCCTCGCCTCTTTCCAGCGCCACGGTCCGGCCCAGGTGCGCCCGGGGGGCAGGAGGACCGCAGCACAGGTGCCTGCTCCCTGCGCCTGCGCTCTGCGTGCCCCGCCTCACCAGGTGCGCCCCGCCCCCTCCTCTCTGGCTGGCCACCTTCGGTAGCTCCTTCCCAGCGGCCGCCATTGGCTCCAGCGCCCACCGAGGGTTTGGAGGTGTGGGGGGGTTCTGAACAGTGGGAGAGTCGCTGAGTGTCGCTGGCTGGGAACAAAGGGGCGAGTGAGGAGCGTTCTCCCGCATTGTGAGTATAGGAGGTAGAATCCGCACACAGAAGGTCCTTGAGAAAAGGGTTTCCCGGAGACTGTGACGTGAGAGACTGCGCGGCCCCTCCGCTAGCTTCCACACCTGAACGCGAGGCGCTCCTGTGCGCGTGCGCGGCAAGGGGCTTCCCGCACCTGATCGCGAGACCCCAACGGTCGGCGGCTGGAGGCCTCGCCTGTGCTACCGGGTGAAGCCCGTCATGGCGCAACTGTGTGGGTTGAGGCGGTGCTGGGCGCTGCTCGCCCTGCTGGCATCGCTGCTACTCTTCCGGGCCGAGGCGGCCGACGGAGAACGCGACGTCCACGGTGAGGGCCCAGAGGGGTCCCCTGGGAGGGGTGGCTGGCCGCGAGTCCTAAGGCAGGATGTTAGGGGCAGGTTGTGGGGGGGTAAGTTGGGGTCAGAAGGGCCCTTGGCAAGGTCTAAGCGGGGAGAATTGGCGGGGGGGGGAAATTGGGGCGACTTGGTGAAGCTCAGTGGGGTGTGGTGGGAGCCACCATCCCTGGGAGACTGAGCCTTGACAAGAGGTTTGGGAATGAGGATGGGCAGAGGAGCGAAGGTTGGGAAAGTTTCCTGTGGGTGAGGGAGGAGACTAGCGCTATTGACTAAGGAGTAGCATCGCCCCTCCCTGTGGCAGGAAGGGGTGAGCGGCCGACCAGACCAGCTTCTTCCTGGCAGCGGAAAGTTCCATGGCCCAGGAAAGCCAGGCCTGAGAGGGTGGGGGTTGGATTATGTGATATGTGAGGTGGTGGCCGTTTGGGCTTCAGGGTAGAAGCCCCCACCCCCACCTCTTTAGATCTTGGACATCAGCCTCCCGAGAAACCTATCTGATCCAGTTGCAGTAGAGTGCTTCCAAGAAGGAACGTGATTCTAAGTGACATCCACAGGAAGGAGAAAATAAGCAAAAGTGTTGGAGGGAAGAAATTTTGCCAGATGCAAGGGTGGGGACGCCTTGGTATAAGAAGAGTATAGGCTTTGAGAAGCTGGGTTTGGAGTCATTCGACTGGTCCTTCTGAGGCTGGTGGAGGATATGGCTGGATTTTAACCTTTACACTCTAAAGAAAGTTCAGCTTGAAAGGACTTTTTTAAACAAGTGCCATAACCTTAACTGCTTCAGACAAGCGCAAGCGAGCTTTGAAAATAACTCTTAAAAGAAGAATTCATTGATTCAGCAACACTTATTGAGGCCCTGCTCTGTGCCCTGGACCATGCTGGCACAGGTGATAACAGTTGTGACTCAGATAAGCCACGTCCCTGCACTCACAGAGCTTAGATTCTGATGGGAGAGGCAAAGACAGGGAGTAAACATAAAGAGCACTCACCGCAGTATTAAATTACTAAGAAGTAAATGAACAGGGCAAAGTAAACAAACATGGTGATGTAAAATAATGGGGGCCACTTTTTCTTTTTCAATGTAATCAGATGAAATTTTATTCTCTGATAAACAACAGGTTCTAGATTACATTTTTCTCCTTGAAAATGACACCATTCAGATTCCATTTTGAGGCAGTTTGCTTCTCTTGCCTTGCTCTGTGACTTGCCATATAAATATCTCGTGTTCTTATGCTCCCTCTCCTGGTCTTTTCTGTCCTTCAGCAAGACCTCACTCCTAGAATTGTGACTCCCCTCCCCTGCCTAGGTGGGGGCCTGGCATGTGAACAAAGAAGGCAGCCAGCACTTGTGGCCAGATCCATAGGAGACCAGATACAGATTCACTTCTTCCTTGTTTACAGTCCAGCTTGACTAAGTGAAAAAGGGCCATACTGGTGTGGAGAAGAAACATGCCTGGCATCCTTTTGGAGAAATGAATGCTCTCCAGAAAAATAATAATAATAAAAGATACTTGATAGAACATTTTTGAAACTATGCCTGATGGGGGCCACTTTAGCTTGGTAGTCCGGGGAGGTCTCTGAGGAGGGCAACATCTGAGCTCTAAGATGAAGAATGAGGAGGCGGCAGCCACACAAAGACCTCAAGGACGAGTGTCCATTGGAGGTAATGGAGTACAAAGGCCTTGAGGCTGGAACATGGTTGGTGGTTTTCAAGGAAAAGACAGGAGAGCCAGCCATCGGGTCTGGAGGAGGATGGGAAGTGGGAGAAAGAGGCAGGAGCCAGGTAGCTTTATAGGCCAACATTGGGTGAAAAGAGAGAAAGGAGGAGGCGCGGGCACCTGTGGTGACTTCTGAAGACTTAATTTCCCTATGCCCGAGGCAAAGAGGAAAAAATGAGTTAATGGGGATGTCAAGGCCAGTGGGGAGAGGCTCAGCTCTACAGGACCAAGAATCAGGAATGAGATGCTCCTCATCCCTGCAGTCTGAACCAGGATTTGTCAGTCCTTCTAAACTTTTTTAGGTGAAATAATTACGTTAGGATGTATTCCAGTTACCTGGCCTGGGACTTGATCCACACTTGAGTTTGGGGCTAACATCTATTGCTTACTCTGAGATCGAATGTGTTATTTAATCCTTGAGATAACCTGATGCAGTGGTGAAGTTACAGGTCTTGTCTAAGGTCATACAATAGTAATTGACAAAGCCAGGTCTGGCTGCAGAGGCCTTCTATGTTTGCAGTTGCCTCCTGGGCTGCTGGAGTTGGCTGGACCTACTGACCTTTCAGAAGTACTCCTGCCTGGCTGGGGCAACTAATGCCCTCGCTTATCTGAAGTTTGTTTGAAAGCTTTCAGCAGCTTAATTTGAGACAGGAGGTAGTTGTGATTTTTTTTTGTTTTCCCCTCCTGATTTGATTTTCTCAGGATGCAGGGTCATCCGCTGAGTGAGGTATCTCTCCAGCTGCACAGGAGCTGCCAGATGCGTTGGGTGGAGGGGGAAGCATGCAGTGAATGTGTATAAGGAATTTCATCTGTGTGAAGACATGTGGAGGCTGAGGGGTTGTGGAAAGGTGGTAGGGCCAGTGGATTGTTGGAGGTGAGGTTTTGGAGGGAAAGAGCTAGAAAAATAGGATACGATGGGCAGTGAGTGAGTTGCACGAAACTGATGTTCTGAAGAGGCTGCAATTATTAAGACAAGGTCTAGGCATGACCATGAGAGGGAGGGGCTGGGGGAGGATCGCTGGAGGAGAGGTGGTCTAGGAACCTAGAGGCCAGGACAGTTCAAGAATCACCTACCTGGATATGGAAATCACCAAGAATGAGGATAGGAGCCGGGGACACTCCAGTGAGCCTGGAGCTAAAATCATGGAGAAGTGAGGGGTGGTGATTTGGGTCAGCAGATGGTGCACATGGTGGGTATGATCTACTCTGATGGCAAGATTCATAGCTGGTGTGTTGGGGGGAGGATAGAGGAAGAATGGTCTGGAAGTAGCACCAAGGAACAAGGAGACCTACCCACTTGGAAGGACAGAGGAGAAGGCAAATCCTCCAGGGAGAGCTGGTTAGGTTAAAGATAAGAAAGTGACAGTGCTCAGAGGAGAGATTTTCTTAAGATAGGTCACAAGTACCAGAGGCCCCAGGAGTTGGGGGAAGGGAGATGTTGACAAAACAGGATATTTTGGGATGAGTAACTCAGGAGGTTGGGGCTGATGTGATAAGCAAGCAAGAGAGGAACGTGGTGTGGTCTTAAGACTGACAATGTTGGTGAGGTGCTGGGTGGTAGAGGGCAGATAGGAAGGGGGGTGGGATGTAGTGGGCGCTTGGAGGCTTAGCAAAGAGTGTCCCTCTCCAGACCTGCAGGTGGAGGTAGGAGAAAGCTGAGCTTGCTCCAGGTGCTTCTGGCGTGTAGGGAGAGTGCCAGTCTGTCATGGTAAGCACAGAGAGGTTATAAACGGACCATTCCCCAGAGGCCGCAGACAGCCCTTATGTGTCTTGTACAGTTTCTAGAATTGGGAGATTTAATGGAAAATTTGGGGTTTTGGCTTTGTCTGAAGATACGAAGGTCTGGCAACACCAGGCCTATGTTCCCACCTAGCATCCCAGGGTTGGAGCCAATTACTTCTTTTGGATAGGACAGGTAGTACTCTCCCTCAGTCTGTATTTATTCACTTGGCCTGCCCTCTATATCTGTAAACATTTGAGTTGTGACCCCACCTAAAGAATACACTGCATTTAGTAAACGGAGGTGGATAAAACAGCTCTTTATAAATTGTACAGTGCAGTGAGTGTGTGTGCCCCCAAGGATAGTTGTAAACTAGGTGGTCAAAGACACAGTGACAGTTAAGAGTGCACCCCGTGTTGTGATCAGCTCGGGGTTTCACAGTTGCATCTTCTAGTATTGTGTGCCACAGAAGAGGCTGGTGTCCTGCTTGCAGGCATGACCATTTGGTTCCAGGAGAGTTTAAAATATTTATTCAACACACAGTTATTGAGCACCTACCAGGCTTTAGTTTTAGGTGCTGGAAATAGAGCACTGAACAAAAGAGACAGCCCCCAGTCCATGGCAGTTACCTTGTGATGAGAGGAAGACAGCAGAGAAATGAACAATGAATGTATGTCTGGTGATGAGTACTGTGAAGAAAAATAAGATATGGTTTGGTGTGCTTAGTACTGAAAACATGGCCTTTGAGGCTCAGATGGTGACAGTCCCTAAAGAACATTGAGGGCCTTGGGTTTTTTTTTTGTTTTTTTTATTGGGGAACAGTGTATTTTTCCAGGACCCATCAGCTCCAAGTCAAGTAGTTGTTTTCAGTCTGGTTGTGGAGGGTGCAGCTCAGTAGCCCATGTGGGCATCGAACCGACAGCCTTGGTGTTGTGAGCACTGTGTTCTAACCACCTGAGCTAATCGGCTGCCCCCTGAAGGCCTTGCTTTTAAGTCCACTGAGGGAGAGTGGCTCTTTCCCTGGAAAAAGATACTTTCTACCAGAAACATTCCTTTGCCCTGGTTAGCATTTGAGAATGGAGCCTATGATAGAGAAAAAAGACTTCTCTTTCACCCAACCTCTAGCTGTTTCTCATTTTACCTATCTCCAGAGTCATTTGCTTGCTCAGGTTTGTCTCCTGGTAGTTGGCCAGGTAACTAAGGCCTCTGTTTGTCATGTCCTGAGGCTGACAGGGGAGGCCCTATAAGGGATGGGGTAGCCTAGGGATTCATGTGAGGAGGGAGAGAACCCTTAAGGGGGTTGGGGGCCGGTGGTCGCACCAAAATGACTTCATTAACCCCAGGAGGGCTTGGTGACTCACTGCTCACATGACTAATGCAGAATTCACACAGATGAGCCTACAAGCAATAGTGGATGGATTAGGAATGTATTTGTATGATCCTGGTTACAAGTGTCATTTCATGTGTTGTTTCTGACAAGATCTTTTTGAAAGCTCTTTGTGAAGGAATGTGAGGCCTAGGAACTTTGGAGTTTAGTT